GAACCCGCCTCTTTGAAAGATAGGGGAAGGTGTCTTGCGATGTCAACGGGACACTGAGATCCGAATGACCTTTCCTGGTTGCTTGCCATTCTGCTCCGATGAATATTGAATGAGCCCGTATATCCTTCGCTTACCTTCCTTCCTAGACTACCTGTCTGCACCGTCATACATCTATATGTGTCCTTCCCTGACAATGGATTATCTCCGAATCTGCCGATGCAGCCTAAGATGAACAAATTTATTCATTACAAAGCGAAGTAGCTGGAAATGACCCAGAACTTATTTACTAAAGCTGGAGTACAGAGCTAAATTTGTGAGAGTGAGCGACAAGCTCGCATACAGTACACACTAGGGCGTAACAATCAACTAACTTGTCCTGAAAACCTCTCTGAACTAGTGTTCGGGCATCTCGGCCATGTTCAAAACTTGCAATGCTGAAGAATATTTGCTGAAATATCAGGGGACTTCTGCTGAGCTGCGGATTCGTAGCCCTCGCTGTACTATCGAGAGCATTCCGCGATTCAGATGGTCGTCGATAACCTTAATTTATCTGCACTGTTGTTCCACACGGACGGAAGATGTGTGTTGATGCTCGGGAGAATCTCAACACAACCGAAGTATGTGGATGTATCAATCCTATAATAGACTGGCGTATCCGGGAGTTCTTACAGTATACCGACTGGAGACACAACTCGCAGCAGGTCTTATATTACTGGCATCAGCCTGAAGCGGCCACGGAACACTCGACCAGTCTAAGTTTAAGGAGCATTGACACATACATACTCAATGCCGGACGGCGCGAGGAGCTCAAGTCTCGAGCTGCCTTGTCTTCAATTGAATCTTGATGCCCGTCGGTTGTAGGCAAAGCTGCTTGCCCTCGGCGCGCACCACCTCGCGCGAATGCCCAGCTCAACACACTGTTAATCCACATGTGTCCGTGCGCCACGAACGTACTGGGAACATGCGTACGACGCAGACCGGGAGCGTCTCGTCCGCACCATCCGTTAGAGCCCCGCTGACCTGGTTCAACACCCGTGCAGACCCTCCCGCGCCCGCCGACGCTCGTTTCGACTCCGTAGGCAGACAAGCAGACAGGAGCCTAGAGAGTGGATAGTTGACGCGGCTGTGGCTGTGCCGGCGCGGTGTTGGCGCGGGACTGACGCGGTCTGATGCGGGGTTGGCGCGCATTGATGCGCATCGGCGCGCAGTGACGCGGATTGACGAGGACTTGTGACGCGCACCAGGGCGAACTCGGTCAAGCTGAAATAATGTCAGATCTATCTGAATTGAATGAGAAGTGGTTGATGTGGAGTCTAGACCAAGTCTAAGTTGCAGTATTATGCAGTAACACCGATTTTGGGGCCTTGCAGCGCAAGTAGAGCCTCTTGGAAACTCCATACACGGTCGGGTCTTCGGCGCTTGAGCAGAAATAGCCATAGGCAAGATGTTTGCATCAATATCAGGCCACTCGACTGAGATATATGAACTTCCGAGTGACTAGTTAGACAATAGTTAGATCCGCGTCAAACCGCGTCAGTACCGCGCCGGTGCGCGCCGCCCGCGTCATTTTCTCCGGACCCGAACGTGATCCGTGCGCTCGGCGCGCCGGCGGCAGTGTTTAGCGCAGGGGCCATATTGGCCGGAGTTCTTTCAACTTCAAGCTCAGCCTTGGGCGCAATCCAATATATAATCATAGTAGTTGACCTGAACGCGGGCTGACCTCCCGGAACTCCCGGGGGCGGTCACATGATGAACATTTTTGACATGTTCAAAATGTCCTTCGTTTTGTCGCCCGCCCACGTAAAGCGCGCGCAGCACAGGGAGTGAGCACCGCCGCGGGGCCGCCGCTGCTTATCAGCGTGCGCAAGGCTCTCTCGGGCAGGGCACCCGACGATCCACGCCTCCGAGAGTTCACTCAATCTTGACTCAATCCCTTGTCAATTTCGGGATCCGGTGCCGCGATGCCGCTCGCACGTGACACGCTGACAACGTGGTACAATCTTGCTTCCTACCCTCATCTTCGTCTCACCTTGCGCCCTCACACGCATCGAATGCGTCCCAGCTACATCTTAATAATATACTTACCTGGAAATCTCTTTCATTTCAGCGTTACTGACCTTCATTTGCAGGCGCTATCTTTTCAATACGGACCAGATGCTGCCAAGCGCTTGGGACTGGCGCGACTGCCTTCAAAGGCGTCGCGCGCCTTCGTTTGGTACGCAAGAGCTTATTGAGACTCCTCGTTACACTCCAGCTGACTTCAATCTGTAGTTCTACCTATATCTCAGTGTCGTTCTTGGCCATTCTGTGCGCATCATCTGCCATCTGGGACTTTTGGTCTTGCTATTCGTTCCCCCCAAACGGTTTACTATCGACTTGGATGCCGCTTCCGATCTGGACTCTACCCTGGGCGAACTCAAAACTGGTAGCTCAGCCTTCAATCTTGCTGGCGCGGCATCTCAAGTCTCCCTTGGCATTCAAAGTCAAGTTTGCATTCAAACTCGTTCAAACCCTGTCTGTCCTCGGGACTTTCTCTTCGTTTCGCTTTACTCTGGCTCGAGTCAAGGCTCCTTTTTCTAAATGTACTCTGGGCGGCATTCAAGAGTCAATCTTCCAATTCAAGTCGCGCAATACTTACCTCCGTAGCTTCGGCGCGCTCTTCTGACATCTATTCTGTTCCTCTATTCTCTGTAGGCCCTTACTCTGTTGGAAACCGATCTAATGGCTCTTCACCTCGCGCTTTGATGTGCTTCATATCGGTCAGTCTAAAGCTTCGCTTGTTGTCTTACTGACTACTGCTTCAAGAACCGCGACAGGGACCTGTGACCGAGCTGAAGTCGCCGTTATCAAAGGGCTTTACGTCTAGTTATCTTCGCTACCAACTCATTTTGATCAGCTGTCGCGCGACCCACAGCATTTAACTTTGGTACGTCGTTAAGTCACACATATCTGGCTTGGTTCTAATTGACTTACGGGTACAGGTTCACTTTGAACGCCAGACAAAACACGACCCGCAGGTAAGCTAATGCTCGGCCACGACGCTAACACTATTATTGAGTGACTTGGGTACGTCTCCGTTCATCTACCGATGATTTCTTGCTCATAAGACTGCAACAGTGCTTCCGCGTGCCTTGGATCCATTTGAATCCGATCCAGGGTAAGACTTACAATGACTAGTGTACAAGCGATGCCCGCGCGCACTTCAAAGCGTTTCATTGAATCTCGTGGTGTGGGAGCGGCTCTGCGCCAATGTTTCCTCCCGAGCGCGACGCAAGCTTTTTGTGCATCTGGTGGACTGTGCGCTTCAAAGTGATGCAGACGAGGGAGAGTTGCCAGGTAAGTCGTGGTTACTGTTCCCGCGCAATTGAGCCCCTTTTCAGGACTCGGGGAAGGTCCCGTTTGGCGTGCGAGACAGGGGCTCTGATTAGCCACTTGATTGTGTCCCCGTGTGGTTTGAGCTCGCGCCAGGTTCGCAGCAACTCATGGGTGAGCCTCCGACGTCAAATCAACTGAGCTGCGCGCTGATTTGCGCTCGGGATCCCGCGCGTTGTCTGGCCGCGGAATTGGCGTCGGTGCGTCTAATCAAGTTTCTCGTCAAATTTTGGCGCCGCTAACCGATTCCTTTGTAGAGGAGCGCGTCCCTCGCACGCCATTTAATAAGTCAGAAGAACGAGCGCGATGAGTCAAGTCAATCCCCACCCGATTAGTACTTACATCGCGCCGGATCGATAGCGTTCAGCACCACTTTCAAACTAATTGATGTAGGCGCTGAGTTGCACTCAGGATTCGGGGCCTTGTCTGTCCGCGCCATAAACCTCGGTGAGTCAATCCAAGTTTGAATTAGTTTTTCTGCGCCGCCCACCCGTTTCTTCGTAGGTGAGCGCTCCCTTGCACGCCGCCGGATAGGTTGTAAGATCGAGCACGGAAAGTCCTAGTAAAGAGTGCCTGCGTCTGAGCACGCATTGAGCTCGCGCCGCTTTGCAAGCCGTGCGGTCGTGAAGGAGCGTGGACGTCTTCTCATCGATGTATCTTATCGTGAGTTCAACGGGTCGATCACCTTCTGCGGTAAGGTCCTCGAAATGCGAAGCGGAGTCTGGACTAGGATGGTCAAATCAGGGTTTGGGACAAGGGAGTGGCAAGGGGCTACGGATGCGTGTCATCCCAGGGAATTCCTGGGGAAGGTCAGGTGATATATACTAGTTCATTTATTCAAAACATCTTCCTCTTTGGACACCCTATATGGCTCCGGCCTTGTCCTTTTATACCCTGGTGAAGCAAACGGTTCGAGCGATTTGAACTGTTTGCTTACTATCTGTTCGCAACTTGCGAGGAGTCACAATGAAACAAATAATTGAAAAATAAACAGTACCAACTGCTTTGAGCGTAGAGGGACTCACGCGTGACTCGGAGGAAACGATCTGATAGTTTGGTCGATGAACTCAATGGAGCAGTGAAATGAAACTACATTTTTTTATGGACGGCTGAGTCAGCGACGGACCCAGCCCAAGGAAGGGACGTGATCAAACAACAGGGCAACAATTTTAATTGCTTTGTACTGAACTAACAACGATTATGGACCTCGTAGGGCCCAGTTTCGACTCTCTAGTAGGACGGTGCGATCCTATCTTAGTGCGCAGTACATCCACTTCATTTCACTCAATCCCTTTGATTCGGGCATGGGTAAACTGACGTTGTGACGTTGCAACCGGGCGCTGAATGAGAAAATGGGGTTGCCGCCGCTCCCGCGCGCCCTGTCGCTTCACCACCTCTCTACCCACCACTGTGGCCCCTGTCACCCGCCTCCGCTGCGCCCAACGCGCCATCCTCGTCCCGAACTTGCTTACTTATGTTTTCCTGTAGAGAATAACATTCCTGTAGAGAATGACATTTTTTTGGATACAAGCATACTAGTGGGAACGAAAGTGCTACCTGCATATCTGCCGGCGTCGATGTTTATGCAGAGGATGACGAGGATCACAACGAGGGCTAGAAAAAAAAGGAGACCTCGGCGGGGCTCGAACCCACGGCATTCCACGCGAAGTCAAGGAGATGATGTACAACACGAAGACGCTTTACCAACTAAGCTACAAGGTCCATTTGCAAGGTGTCCGCCCTACCGTCCATATTGTGGCCCAGCTATTCATTATTATTATTATTATTTTCTGCCGCACGTCCTGTCACACGATCGAAAGTGTGACTTAGTGATGTCAAAGTTCGGTTCGAGATTTCGGTTCGAACCTGAACTGAACTCAGGTTCGGGGTTCGGGAAAGCGCTGAACCTGAACCTGAAGTTCGGTTCAGGGTTCGGGCCGAAAAAAATTGTCCTGAACCGAACCGAACCCCGAACCTCAACTTTCAACATTACTTTCTGACTGATTTTCACTTGTTTTTTGAGCTAATTTTGCGGCTAGCAAGCATGTAACTGACCTACAATAGTCATGTCACACTCCCTATGTCTCACCCTGTGCTAGCCACTGGCATCAAGTTGTGCCGCATGAAGAATCAGCGCCTGTATATCACCGTAGGCGGGCCCCAATGTGGGGTGGCGTCCCCAGGTGTGGGGGTCTGGAGGCAGGCAGACTGCTTCCCCGTGCCGACACCCTCTCAAACTGCCTTGAGTTAGTTGAAAGTTTGTTCGGAGTGCAGCTTCCGATAACTACCGCTACGCAACCTATGATCCATTACAACGATCATTTGTGTAAACCAGATGTGCACAACACAACGGCCCTGAAGTATTGACTTGAGCACAAGTCGATCATTGCATTTCCAAGTCAATATTGACTTGGGCAAGTCAAGGTCTAGCAAGTTACCTTGTATATCCTTGCAACCCCCACTGCAAGCCCACTTATGTCCTGGAATCGGCAAGCAGGTTCGGGCTATACTGCGGCCGCCGCCCATGAACGGACCGCACGGCCACACACCACCCTGCGCGCGCATCTCTGCAGGTCCAAATAGGCGTGCTTAATATCACCGTGCAGTGTCCCCCATCATATTGAGCTCGTACACGCCGGTAGCGCCTCCGGACGCGCGACCAGGCGCACCGTGTGCAGATGCGCAAGGTGCGTCTCATTCCGCGAGTGTGAGCGCCAGCGCGTGGAACGTGAGAGGGTTGGAACGCTCGATGAGGGTGAGTGCAATGTGCGACGTTGCGAACAAACTATCTAGCCTCACAGCTTTGAGTTTGACGAGTCACAGTGACTGCCAGTCAAAGCAAATAATTTAATCGAATAAGTGCGGAGATGTGAAGGACAATTATGATCTTCCCAATTACCGAAGAAATAAGTACAGAGGACATATATGGGCTCAATAGGCTATGATTTTGGAGGGTAGTGGTGTTTCTTCCAGGGGAATCCAGTGCACTTCCATTTATAGATCTCGGCACCCTGGCAAGGATCATTGTTCCGATCAATCGATCAAAGCCTTTGAGATATCCTCGACTCAAAGTCCCTCAGAAGTAATCTTGGGAGTTGTAGTCCCTTGATAGCTGGTTGTAACTCCTGGGGAAGATAAGATGTAACCTGGATGGTTGAGATGTAAGCTGATTGCAAAAAAAAATGTAGATGTAGTTGAAAACCCTGTATCCAGGCAGAGGTTGTAAGCAATTATTTTTTGCACAGTATATGTGCCATAATATCGCCCATAGAGAAGCATGAAGACGGCCCGTAGACCGTGTCCAGCGCGGCGCTTCAGGACGTGGGCCGCGCCCGCCGCGCCCTCGTCGGAGCCGCAGCAGAAACGGCACGATCGTCCAGTCTAGAATGCGATTGGGAAGGCAGGCGCGAGATCGTGGGTGGACGGAATGCCCTGCGAGCACTGCTCTCGTGCGCACGAAAATGAGGACAGGTGCAGGAAGCAGTCAGCGCCGCGGATTGGGAGATTTGTCGTTCGAAGCGAGCACAGCGTGGGCGGGTGCGAGAAAGAGCGCGGGAGTGCGTAGGTGGAGCGGGATGCGCGCGCGACGCCCGGAGGGTAGGGGACTACAGCACGGCTCTCGTGCAGAGGTGCGGACGAGAGCCCTGCATTCCTTGAAATAGTTGCCGTCCGACGCACCTTCTATCTACATCGGCGGTAAGAACAGAAATCATGAATAACGACCGGACGCACCACTCAGCTCTGGAGCGAAATCACACTCGCGGCGACGATCCCAGCAGAGGTACATTTACCACAAGCGGCAATGACTTGTAGAGTTGGTAGGCGAGAGAGCGCGCAGGGGACCGCGGAGAACCAGGCCCTTGTGGATCGATGTCTCGGAGTACGATCTCGCTGTCATTTCGCGCGCCGGTGAGGATTGTCGCATTCCGGATGAAGACTGAAGGTTGGGCTGGACAAAGCGATCCGAGCCTAGCGTATTCCGCAGCGCAATGAAGCCCAGGGAAGGCTCCAGCGATGCCCAGAGAGACCGGTGGCGTGGCGGCGGGGCGAAGCCGCTGTCTCAATAGCGGTACGAGGAGTAGTGAGCCCCGAGAAAGAGAGCGGCGGTAGCGACCAACAGCTATCTATCACCCTTCCGCTTGGGATCCCACAGGATGCATGATGGTGGAAGGAGACTGAGTTGGCTGACGATATCTGACGTTGCCGTGCCTCGCTCCGACTCTTGATTCGTGCATTAATGCATTAATATCGACACAGATTCGGTGAGCCTCCGAGTCTGTTTGTGCCCCGCCGCTTGCCGGCTACCTTTCATGGTGGAAGGAGACTGAGTTGGCTGACAATTTGTGTCAGACAATGGGCCTGGCTAGTCTAGAGTTAAGCGCGTGCCCGGTGTTAGGCGGTGGGGGTTATTATATAATCATCGGAGTTTGAACTCCCCCCAGGGCTTCGCGCTGTTGCTCCCCTCATCTCAGTCAAAATCCTGTAAGCCAAACACTTTGGAATGGTACTGAAATGAGTTCTGATTCTTCAGAGTTCTATTTTCCGCCCGTTCTATTGAGCATCGGCATTCTCCGTTGCCTGTCCATCAAAATCCGGCATCGCGATTTCGACTTCATTCGTGTGAAGTAGGGCTGGCTAAAATGTTCCTTTGTGATGTTCCTTTAGTACTCAGCAAGATTGGGGCTCTGCGACGCGTCTCAACCTTCGAGACGGCAGCGGGGAATTTTGAGATTACATAATAACTGCCACCGCCAACCGATCACCTCGGGTAACCGACAGACTACAACAAGCGAGGCACGAGCTCAAAATGTTGTAGCGTCTGTTTTCAAGAGACTAGGGCCTGGCTGGCATGAAAATCATCTCATCACGCGACAACGCACAGCTTTCCGCGGAATAAGCGGCCCGGTCAGCGGTGCCGGTGAACGCTGATCCGAGATCGGAATACGGCTTACCTTCGACCACCACAACCGATCTTAACCCAGGTGTCTCTGACGGTCGCAAACAGGCTGTTACAGCGGGGACGTGCTCAAAATCTCAGGGTCTCTGGTACTGCGCCGCTCTCAGCCGCCGAACCGGTGAATTTCAAAGAACACAAGGCGAGACGACTCGGAGACTGGAGCAAGACTGGAGTTGGTTTTGCGGGATCCTTTTGCTCTACTATGTGGCTCTCCCTCTAACAAGTTCCTACACGCGAAGACTCGTTCCAATCTCCATTCAAGCGATCTAATTTTCACGCGGAGCAATCGACTACTGGACTACTGAAATATCTCCAGGAGTCCGACCTGGCTCAGGTCCTTGACACACTTCCGAATACACTGCGCGCCGAGTGGCGAGAGCGCACTCCGTGGGCCGTTGCATCTCCCCTCGCTCCACCACGACCCTCGCGCCCGGGTGGCGTGGCTCACTATTGAAATTTGGGTGATGTATATGGTTACTTTGCTCCAGCGCGCTGCTTTTTTGCTCTGAGTCTGTCTAATCCCTTCTGCAGGTGAATGTTCCTACAATCTTGGAAGGCCTTGTAGCGCGCTTGCGACATCAGGTCCATGGTAAGTTCTCGATCTCCTCTGACACTTCTTGCCCGGAATCGAGCTTGAGGTGGAGTCAATACTCGACTCAAGCCGCTTTTCGTCGCCTTGATGCGCCATCTTCGTTCCCAGCGATACTTACTGACTTCCTTCACTTATACTGGTCGAATGTAGGCTCAATGGCGGGCAACGCACTCGCAGGGACCGAGCTTCAGTTTGGTGAGTTCCTTCCCTTTTCCTTCAGAATCCTTCCACTCATTCTCTGATCCCTTTCGTAGATGCAGGACTGTATAGATTCAAAGGCGGTCTATCGATCTTGCGATGCTACAGACGTCCATGTTTCCGTGGTCTTGATGAGCCTTCTTATATTTACGTATGATCGTACTGCCACTCCCCCGCCAAGTTCAGTACATCGCAACACTGCGGATTCCCGCCTGCAACTCAATCCAACTCGGACGAGAAACAAGATCGTTCCACCACCTGCGCACCCGGGTCAGCCAGTACGTCCGCTCACGAGTAACCGCACTCACCGCTTCACATTGGGGCCTTTGTCAGTTATAACATCGAATCCGGCCTTGATCAGTATCGGCGCAGCGTACAGATGGAATATATCTGCGAGGGTAAACTCCTGCCCGGTGCGTCAGCGCGGGCATATATATGTAGATGATGCGACTCACATCCCCGCCGATGTACCTCTGCTTGCCAAATATGAACTCGTACTCGGCCAGCGTTTTGGCGAGCGCGGCCTGGCCTTCTGCCAGTGCGGCCTCATCGGTGGGCACATTTGACAGCCTGGTTCGTGCGCGGTCAGCCCCGCAGACAGGATGCGCCGCGCGTGGGCTCACGGGTTGAACACGAGCTGTGCACCCACTTTCATGAGCTGCGGGAAGAGTTCCGAGACCTCAACCGAGGCGCCCCGCTCGAACAGCGCCTTGGCCCTAAGGTCGGTGGGGATGAGCCGTGTGCCCTGGTCGGCGTACTTCTCTGCGAGGTAGCGGCATATTGCGCGGCTCTCGTACAGGATGAAGCCGTCGTCGTCCTGCGCTCGCGTAAGTGCCCTGGTGTGGGACGGGTTGCGCCACGTACGATCATTGGGATGCGGCCGAACGGGTGCAGCGCGAGATATTCGGGTGTCTTGTGCTCGCCCTTTGAGTAGTCGATGGGGACGAGCTCGAAGGGGATCTTCTTCTCCAGAAG